TTACACTCAAAGAAAATATTTAATATTTAATTTGTAAAAGTATATAATTTACAAACTAGTTTGCATTTATAAATCCATTAGCCAAGAATATAGAGTATCTAAGTTGAACAAGTAACAGATAAATAAAATACTATATAAACCTAGGATATGAAGGGACTTACATTAGAAGAGAGTAATTTTTTAAGAAGTTTAATGTACAAAGTTCTCAGCAACATGAAGAAATCCAGGCTAATTTCAAACTGTTATAAAAAAAATTAAGGCTTCATACCGATGAAACTGCTTTTGATAAGTTCTTTTCTAAGGCGTATAAAAGACATATAAGAACTTGGAGAAAAACACCTCCATTCTCAGTGTTCTTTGATTCTCTGATCATAAGGGATATTTAATGGAAATAACTACCTAAAAATAAGCTCACTGGAAGATTTACTTCCTTGCTTACTTTCTCCAGGTTTCCCTTGTCCAGGTTCGTATTTTCTATTTGGCTACCTTTCCTCTCCTTCAGAATTATTACAATGCCTTCCTTTCTCCATGAAGTCATTACTGAAAGCATAAGGGTTGGCAATTTCTTTCTCATCTTAAGGCTCATTCACATTTTCCTCAACACATATAATAAAAATGAGTTCACATTTTCTGAGAACTTACCACGTGAAGGGCAACTGGAACGTGCACTGGTCTTACCTTGCTGAATTCCCAGAATAATCCTGGATAGATACTACTATTACCCTCTCTACGGATGAAAGAACAGCACTAGCAGGTTAAGAAACAAACCTGAGCCCTGGCCGGGTAGCTCAGTGGGTTGGAGCATCATCCCATACACCAAAATGTTGCAGCTTCGGTCCCTGGTCAGGGCACATACCTAGGTTGCAGGTTCCATCCCCAGTCTGGGTGCATATAAGGGGCAACTGATCAGTGTTTTTCTCTCTCTCCCTTCCTCTCTCTTTCTCTAAAATCAATAAAGAACATATCCTCAGGTGAGGATTTTTTTAAAAAAAGAAGGAAACATACCTGAGTTGAAACATCAAGAGCAGGGACAAGGATGCTGTCGCCCAACCCCAAAGCCTACGTTCTAACCCACTAGATGTTGCTTAGATTTAGAAAATACATCTTATGTAAAATCATGGTAATTATGCCATATTTATTTTATTTAAAAATCAACCCCTTATGGAACATTTAACACATCAAACTGATGATAACACCTTACTATGACCATGAACTGGCAGTTTATTAAAGTGTTAGGTTTACTGATATGAGAATTGGTGACAGCAAAAGCCCACAGAGTTCCCAGTGAGAAAGGGAACCAAATGAGGGAGAAAAGTGCTATGAGTCTGAGATACCACCACTTCGAGACACTGCTGGATATGAAGCTAGTGCCATTAGACAACAGATTCTACCCGGGGCTACTTAAAAGCTGCTTACTCTTCCCCCTACTCTTCCCAAAGCCTGAAAAGAACACTGATCAATGAGAAATTTATGAAAGAAGACAAAAATTCTTTTCTAAATTTCAAGTAAGAGAAGAAGAAGAGTAAACTCTCTTTGATTATATAATTGGTATTACAATTGATAATAAACTACTTTCCCCAGACTCCCTGAAACTAGTTTAACGGGAGCCATTTTTAAAGTCTGCTCTGAAGTTTATGGAATAGCAGAATGGACTGCAACTCAGAGAGGCCTGACATGACTGGATATTCTTTGGTAGAACATTAATCTAGGCATGTACTTCATCAGCAACATTAGTTAGCTGTGCTCTCTATCTTATAGGTGAGGTTCTCTCTGCCTCTATTCTACATCTGCTGTTTCTCTTTCCAAGGCTACCTAACAATCTCAAGTTTCCCAAGGAAAGGGCTTACACAAGATTCACTGATGTATCTCTCATTCTTGCCCAAACTTAAGGTGTGCTTTATTATAAAATCTATGGAATGAACACATCCCTTAATCAATCTGGTCTGCCTCAATTACCAACTCAAGTTCTGGTTCTCAGTCCTTCCTTTCTTTTAATTTTGTTGTTTTTCTTGATCTTCTGCCATTAAAAACAACAACAGCCGAAACCGGTTTGGCTCAGTGGATAGAGCGTCGGCCTGTGGACTGAGGGGTCCCGGGTTCGATTCCGGTCAAAGGGCATGTACCTGGGTTGCAGGCACATCCCCGGTGGGAGATGTGCAGGAGGCAGCTGATCGATGTCTCTCTCTCATCAATGTTTCTAACTCTCTATCTCTCTCCCTTCCTCTCTGTAAAAAATCAATAAAAAATATATTAAAAAAAAAAAAAAAAAAAAACCAACAACATTTTAACTCCTCAATGCTTTCCTTGTTTTTATGATTTTCTTACTCTTCTCTTCCTGATATAATTTTTAACTGTTCTGTTCTTCATATTATAATTATTCTTGATTTCTTTTTCCTTCTATTTTTGTTCTTGATCATTCTATTCTCTCTCTCTCTCTCTCTCTCTCTCTCTCTCGGCCTACTCTTATTTCCTTCCATCTTTTATTTCTTTCGTCTAGTGCTTTTTTAAATTTTTCTTTCCTTGCCTTTTTAGCTCCTTCCCTCTTAAGGATCTCTGTTAAATTTAGTTTCACCTGCATTTTAAGAAAATAATACTTTCTTCATCAAAAGTACTCTCATAATTAAAGCACTGTGTCTTCGTTAACAAGAACACCAAGTTCAGGAGGAAAGGGATATGGGGTTTCTTTATCCACTTCTTTCTGAGTATCCTCAACAGGAAGTATAACTACCATTTCTCATGAAGATTATAAGGTATATGACCTATATGTCAACCAAATCAAGTCAGTAAGTACCTGTGGCATACAGTCAGTAGAGAGTGACGGGGGAAGTGGCAGAAACTTTCAACAACCTGCTCTGAGCTGATCACACAAAACAAGTGAACCACTTATCCAGTTAGATAGTTTCAGTTACAAGTTAGAGAAAACGCAACTGGACCTGGATGAAACAAGAAAGGCTAACACAGTTGCAAATTCCCTAAGTTGTACTGCCACCAAGAACCTATATTCTTCCAGTCTCTCCGCATTGCATTCTACAGTATTGGTTTTATTCTAGGCATGGCTCACATGCAACAGAAAAATCGATTCTCAGCCAAAGTCCTAAGATTTCATTGGACTAGTCTTGGTCATACACCACCTTCTGAACCAGTCACTGTGAAAGGGGGGTGGGTTACAACAATCTGCTAATGCTAGTTCATGTGCCCCACTTCTGGGTCCTGGATAGACAACTCCTGAGAACCACATAGTCTCAAAAGAAGGAGCAACAGAGAATTTTATGTTGGGAAGGGAACTAGCACATTTCTACTGCATGAGGCAAAGCTGAATGCAGATAGCACAAAATAACAAGCCTGTAATTTACTCAATATATGTTCTTTTTCCATGGAGTTATTTTGGTAATTATAAGATTATAAAAATGAGTAAACACATTTTACTTTATGAAAATGGTGCTCCTCTACATTTTTTTTTTTTTACAATGAATTCCTCTAGGAACTCTTTCTGAGAATATTGACCCCAACACAATTACTTATTATGATTGTTACGTAATTTAAATGTTCTTACTATCAAATAATGAGAAGAAGAAAAACCCCAGAATAATGAACCAAATGACTACTTGAGAAAATAATGATATTCTTGGGAGGAAAAAGGGTGCAAAAGATCACAGTGGTTTTTTAAAAAAAAAGTAATATAAAGTCAGTTAAGCAAATATAGGAGGAAAAACATTTAAAAATGAGAAAAGACAGTAAGAAGCACACTTCACAAGTGAGCAACTGTCAATCTCTCCTATTCCCAATCTCATGACAGCTCTTCTGACTACATATTAAATAAAGACCTTATGGAATTAAAGGCCAGAACATTAACAACTGAACATACAGAAGAGTCATCTTGCTGGTCACCTGAGTATGGGCAGGGGTTAGGGGAGTGAGGGTAATTTTCAGAGTAGTAAAAGAAGTCAATTATAGATCGTTAGATCATATACAGGTATCCCAATAAATGAACGTCAGTCCTTAGTCCCCCCACAGAGGACTATGTATATTTTCTCGAGCTTCTGAATGTCCGCTTCAGAGGAATTCTCCCCAGTAAGAAGACTTTTATTTTCTCAGTACTTAAAGAGACAAGAAAAATCGAATTTTATCTGCAACTGTGAGTCATCAGCCACTGCAGTTCTGTAACACACAGGTCCCTGTTGCTGCAGCCCTTAGAAAGGAGAGGACTATCTTTTAATGGCACAAATAAATCCCTGCGCTGCCTGCTTGCGAAGCATAATTAATTCTGGCCTTTTCATGCTTAATGAAACACCTTAAACACATGAGAGAAGTGAGTTTGAGCTTCTTGTGTATACTTAAAACAGGGAAAGCCCTCGCCACAACCTAGTTCTACTCAAAATGCTGTATGTGACGCGTGCATGAATTATGCGATCATTTCTTCACAATACATCTCTTAAAACAAGCAAATTGTGCTATGGAACAGTTACAATCCACCACCTGTATGAACAATTCTCTTAACTTTTAAAGTGTGAAATATTTTGTTTTTCAGACTCTTGACAGTAAACACATACTTTGGCTCTTAACCTGTGGCTGCGATAGAAGGGTATTTAAACAAAGTAAACTCTTAGATGTAGCTGCTCAATATCATTTCCTTTTATTAGAATAAATTTTTCGTATTTTAATACATACTACATGTTGCAGTACAGAGGCTATGATTCCACTGAGAATTCCAAAACGTAAATTTTCAAGGTTCCATTTCCAAACATAACTAACAATACGAGTAAAATTTTTGAAAAAAAATTTAACTGAAATACTGTATTTACTTTGAAAGATGTACTCCTCTCTATAATAGCCAATTGTTCTAGCCCTGAGGAGTCCTGAAAGCAAATGCCTATTTTTAAAGAAGTTACTACTGCTCTACATGCAGTTTCTTTGCTTTAACAATCAATTGTACATAGAATAAGTGAATAATAAAATATAGAATTCCCCTCACCTGTTTAGGTGTGACCCCAGGCATTCGAATATCTAATGCAAAATCAGATGAATCGATAGGAGTTACTGGCCGGGTGGTACCAAGACATTCATTGGAAAATGATCTGGTAGTTTCTTTAAACCTTTAAAAAAAATAGATAATTTCAATATCTTTGAACATAATGGAATTTTAACTTGAAATTAGAAAGAAAAAAGGGATTCTATGACCGTAAAATTAAAGATTATTGATTTAGACCAGGTAAAAAGATGTGATAACTACATAACATTCTAAAACAGTCTCAGAATTGGACTGTATAGTCCATGAGCAATATATGTCTAACTTGTAAACAAAATGTAATCAAAGCAAACAAGCAGGTGACATTTAAAACTCAATTCAATAAAAACTTGTCAAATTACTTATTTGTTTCTAGTTAATGAAAATACAGTATTAATAAATCAGAAATTATCACAGACCTGACAATTTTCTAATGGAAGAAATACTAACTGTAACCTAGTAACATTTTTGTGAGTATTTTATGAGTGCCTCATATTACTAGTCAGAAACAAAAACCAACAATAATAATGCTAGGAGGCAGAATAGAAGGTGGGGGGAGCTGTGATGTGAATTACAAATGTATAAGCGCATAAATATTTAATATGGTAATTATGAGGAGTGTGTCTACAGCCCAGTGTTTTCCCGTGAGCTCTTACAGCCCATGATCTGATTCTCCCCACCACTTACCTATATGGATATTTTATTCTTCCAGCTATTATAAAAGAAGGCATTCAAGTCTAAACGCCTAGATGTAGTTTCTGAAATATCTCCCCAAGAGGGAGCGATCTGTATTGGAAATCACAACTTCTAATTGAAGTTTGGAAAGCCCGTGCAGCTTGGCTGACACCACAGTGGGTTTGTGTCTGTTTGTTTTCCCCCGTAAAGGGGACTTCACCAGAAGTTACAGTGCTAAAACCCCAAGTCAGCCCAGCGAAGTAGAGCAGCCTTGCCTATTCCTCCGACACGCAGGTCCCCAAAAGTGATCCCAGTTTTCAACAGCAGGCAGACACCACCCAACAACATCCCGCCCGTTTACACAGCAACAGCACAGGCACCCACCTCTTAAAGACAGAAAGGGGGCTTCTGAACCCCAGGCAGCCGCTTTGAAACACGAGGAGGAGAAGTAGCAGGCTCGGAACGCCAGCCATGTCCACCCGCTCCGGCCCCGCCGGGAGAGGGGAGAGCCGGCGGCGCAGCGCTGGGGCCGGTGGGCAGCGGCCGCTACTTCATGGCCGGGGCCGGGGCGCGGCGGGCGTCCTGCGGCGGCCACACACCATCTGCCGGGAGAGCGGCCGGCGGGCAGGACCCGGCGAGTCTGGAGCCCTCGCCTCACCCAGAAACCCGTGGGAAGGCGGTACTTTTGTCCGCTCCGCAAGCGGAAGCTTTCCTCCTTCTAGAGCTGCTTTTTCTTTCTTTTTTTTTTTCCTTCTTTTTACCCTGGTGCTGGGGCTAGACGTGCGCGCCCCTTATCACTGGGGAATGACAGGGACTGTGGGGGATATCACACCAACCCGCGTCAGTCATCATTCCGGACCTGCAAAAATAGAAGCAGATAATGGATGACTAACACATTACAGCATGTGTCCTCGGCAAATCCCAGCTGAGGTTCTTTAATACATTCGCAGTTTCACAAGCCTGAGCCCAAGCCTGGGGAAAATGCTGGTCAGTGGATCTCCCTCCCCCGCAACAGCCCCCGAGATTTCACAAAGCCCCAGTGGTCTCTGTTTTGCTCTTTCTTCCTACCTCACACCCACTCTCTCCCTTTTCCTCCCGACTTTGCCCCCCTTTCCCTCTCCTCCATCCCACTCTCGGTATTTCTTCTGACTTACTATCTCATTCCCTTCTATCATCAAAAAGGCACTTAATTCTCTGCTGAATATAAACAAACTTATTTACGCAAATGACGGGCTAAAAGGGCAAAAGAAAGGGGGCGCTAAGAGAAGCAGAGACAAAGCACTTGGATACCTAGAGAAAGATGTTGAGCACAAAGGCATGTTTGTGTTTATGTACCACAGAGCTACAGATCTGAGGAAGAATACCCCCTGCCGTGAATGGCACCACAGAAGCAATCCCTGAAGTTCCCAGGATTATTTCAAAGACAACCAAAACTCTACAGCTAACACCATATATGAAAGACAAATGCCTACTGAATCATTCTGCATCTAATATACAAAGTAATAATTACTTATAACGTATGCCTCCCAAAACGTATTCTTTCCTGAATAAAGTTTGGAAATTTACAATGTAATGCATGCAGAAACAGCAGGGAGAATCTCGGCTGGCCTCCAAATGAGTTTATCTTCGAAGGGTATGATCAAGAACTTAGCATTAATATAAAAAGAGGCCGTGCAGAGCTGGTTGGTGCAGCATCTCGACATTTTATGAAGAGACTCATCTAGGCTAAAATCTAAAATGTGCCTGTTTTGATATTACTGTTGTGCTCAACATATTCCAGACTATGTGTCAAGTTTGTAGATTGTGGTAAGAAAGCATTGTTTTCAAATCTATATCATTCACAACATAAAAATACCATAAAGATTTCTTAAAGTTTAATTTTAATCACTGATTATAGTTTGGGAAACCTCAAACCCAATGGCCAGATGAATAACACAGTAAACATCAGTAAGATCATATAGAAGTGCTCCACAATCATACATTAGCTTCTAAACTCTCCTCAGGAAATCACAAGATAGTGAAGCTAATCTAAAAAACAAACAAAAAAAACACCCCAAACTAAAACAAAAAAGCAGAAACTAAGGTTAAACGTGAAGACTTCATGGTCAAAGCTTTCTAGATAAAACTTGACTGAATATCCAACCAATCCAAAGATGCTTGGGACTCAGCAGCACCCAAGGACCACTGTTAATTTACATAAGCAAAGATATTTTTAAAAGACTAATGATATTTGTTTGAACTTTCTCTTTGGCTTGCTATTGGAACTTTCAGGAAAAAAAAGAAAGAAAAAAAGAAAAAGGAAAAAACAAAACACTTCAGCTTTGTCCCAGACCCTGGGTAAAGGAAAGAACTCCTTAAAGAGGAATAGAAACAACTGGCCTGAAGGCTATGCCAGCAACAAAGTAAAATCCTGTCTGATGAAAATACTTAATATTCCTTGAAGTTCTTGTTTTTTAAGGATATGTGGAGAAAGGGTAATATTTTATTATTTCATGCAGAACAAGATTCAAGGACAGTCTTTCCAGTTGGCAGGGAAATTTGGTATTATACAAACACTTGAAAACAAATTTAGTATTGAAATTCAACAGGAACACATCTTAAGTACTAGCCTTTGAAAAAAAATTCCACTTATCTCTGATTGATTTTATTACCTTTGATGTGCCAAAGCACCTACTAAAAGAAAAGTGAACTGAAGTTGTGGGTGGAAGCAAAGCTGATATTTGCAGCCATGAACTAAACACAAGGTCTTATAGGAATGAAAGCCAATTATGCTTCTTGGTACTTGATGCCTTGTAAACAAAATACAAATCATCAGATGAAAAAAAAAATCATGTCTAACCATTTCATTTGTTATTTTATAATTCCTGATCATTTTTAAATATATAATATTCAAAACAATTTAGTAGTCTTCTGATTTAGGATTTTAAAAATTCGAATATATTTCTTTGAAATAATTTATTCCCTCGTTAAAACACATACGTAATTCCATATTCTGTATAAAATATCGTAATATGTTGGGGTTTTATAAAATGAATAAAACTAAAAGAGAATATAGCCTATTATGGGAGATGAGGACTTGACACAATTAATATAAGGCATGTTTACAATGTTATAAAAAGAGTACTGTAAAAAGGATTCAGGGAATTTTGAGGTAGGAAAGATCATTTCAACCTTCAAGAGGAGGGTAAGAAAGAACAGAAAGGTAAAGCAGTCTTCAGTGAAAGAGGTGACTACTGAGGGGAGCGTGGAGGGTGGTTGGGTTTCCACTGTAGGAGATGGACATGGGCACTCCTGGTGCAGAAAAGGACAGGGCACAGGAGTGCAGGTGGGAGCAGAGGATGTGTTTAAAAAATAAGTAATGCAATATAGGTTCTGCCTCCTAGACTCCAGCTGTGGATCCAGATTTACTATTTTATTTGTAATACAAAGCAAATATTCTGTTTACAGATGCATAAATTCTTGTAAGAACAATTTACAGTTTATACCTGTACGGATATTAATTCCAGGAGCAGTACTATTACATAGTGCAGTCAAGCCTGGTATAGAGGACCATAAGCTAATTTGGTTTTTACAAAGTAAGCAGTCCATTCCTTTCCATTTTCATTTGAAAAAAATAAAAAATAAAAGAAACCCCCAAAGAGTTGAATTTTGTAACTGGTCAAAGAATCAAATAAATATATTGACCATTCATTCATTGATTTATTTATTCAACAAGAGAAAACCAGGATAGCATAGTGGCTTAGAGCTTATAAGCCAAAGAAAAACTATACCTGGCCTCCTGGCTCCACCATTGACTAGCCTTGTGAAACCACTGAGTACCCAGCCTCTCTTTGATTCAGTTTCCTCATTTGCAAAGTGGAAATAATTCTACCGCTTATCTCATAGAGTCGTTACAAGGAATAAATTAATTCATATTCTTAGAAGAGTTTCAGACATATAATATATATATGCTGTTACTATTGTTGCAACACATATTTACTGAGTACCTCAGACTATCTTAATGCTGGGGATGGTAATAATTGAAACAGATAAAGTCCCCAATCCTTCCAGTGGGGGAAAAACAAATGAAAATAACTACCAAATATAAATTTCATTATATTTTAAGGAGGTTCTATGTGGTTTCCTACAATAACTTATGATTAAACTGATTAAAGGGTACATATCCATTCACACAGCAATTTGATTCCAGGGATTTATTCTTGGGCAAAAATTGAACAAGAGTATAAACATGTTGATAAGAATATTTACTAACACTGTTTATAATAACAAAGAACTGGGTGTTTATAATAGCAAAGAACTGGAATCCATTTAAATGCCCGGTAATGAAAGGCTGGTAAAAGAAATTATTTTTTGTTACAAAACTTGAATACTATACATCCCTTTAAAAACGTATTTTTAAAATTGTCCTATATTTTTCCTTTTTGCATACTTTTAAAAAATGTTCCAACCATCTCAAACTTACAGAAATGTTGCAAGTGGAGAACTTTTTTCTTCAATTATCTGAGAGTGAACTGCTGGCCTGATGATGCCTCATCACTTCTGAATACTTCAGTGTGTATTTTCTAAAGTACGTCCCACTAAATAACCACAATACAGCCACCAAAATAAAAATATGCAGATTCACAGATTACTATCTTCTAATCATCAGCCTCCAAACTTTGCCAACTGTCCCTATAATGTCCCTTATATCAAACGAACCCAGAATCAAGCATTGCATGTAAAATCCTCATGTCTCCAGTCTCCTTCATTGCAGGACGGTTTCTCAGTCTGTCTTTAACTTGTATGACCTTGATTCTATTGAAGACTTCAGGCCAACGTTTGTTCAGAATGCCTCTTGACTAATGTTTGTGTTCTGTTTCATCAGGACTAGATTCAGGCTGTACATCTCTGGCAGGAGTATCTCACTACATCTGTATCAGTGTCCAAACCTGCATATTAAGTTATTCCAAAACTTAGTGGCTGAAGACCATAAACATTATTTGGCATGCTCTATGTGCAGAATGGTGGTTCTCTAATGAGGGTGCAGTGAAGATGTTGGCAGGACTATAATCATGGGAAGGTTTGACGGGGCTACAGGATTTGCTTGCAAGGTGACTCACTCACATGGCTGGCAAGTGAGTTGCAGTGAGCGGCAGAAACAACACCTCCTCACTATGTGCCCTTCTCTCTAGGACAGCTTGCGTGTCCTGAAAATATGGCAGCTGGCTCCCCCCACAGTGAGCAATGATGAGGACCTAACATCAGAAGTCACATAGTTTCTGTGATATCCTATTGGTTACCCAGGTCAAGGCCACTCAGTGTGTCCGAGATTAGCCCAAGGGCATGAATACTAGGACACGAGGATCATCTTCTTGGAAGCTGGCTACCATAGATAGCATCGTAGTAGCTGGTACAACTTTGATTTTGTCTCATTACTAATGATACCATTTTGATCATTTGATTAAGGTGGTATATTACTGACATTTCCACTATATCATTTTTCCCTTTGTAATTAACATCTTTAGGGGGAGAGATTACTTTTGACATTATAAATACTCTGTTTCTCATCAAACTTTTATTCATTTATTTATTATATCCTAATGGACTCACGTTTTTTATTTTATTCCAAGGGTTTGGATCTGTGACTAACTTTATTTACATTACTGACACTGATACTCCAATTGTCTCAGTTGTGGTTCTTTTTAGCTAGCTTTGGTTCCTTTGCACATGTCTCATCATCCTTTGAGCACTTGCTTGCTTTTTGCCTCCTCTCTCATCTGGCCTCAAAACCCTGCTCTAGGGTTTCCTCTCCGACTTGGCCTTTGCTGACACCCTACCCTGGGCTGCTGGCACACATAGATACGCTCTTTATTCTGTTTGGACTGTGACACCCTCTTCCGGGGCACCAGCCCCACCACATTGATGCCCTCCTTACCCGAGGTGGACTCCGTACCCCAGGCCAGGTCACTGCTTAAAGCCCTACCTTGCTCCACCTCACATAACAGCTTTAGAACTAAATTGTTAGAAACAGAAAAGGAAGACATTGTTTTTTTAAAAAGTGAAATTATAAAACAGTACACACATGTATTTAAAAATCGAAAGTAATATACCCTAATTGTATTTCCAATGGTTTTCTATGGGGACAAGTGGGGAAAAGGGAGGACTTTTACTTCCTATCTGTACTAGAGATCCGGTGCATGGATTCATGCACATTGAAAGGAAACTAACTAGAAGGTGGACAGCAGGGCGGGACTGGACAAGATGGGCCGGACACACATTGGAGCCAACCTCCCTAGGTCCCTCCCTGGCCGGCCACACCTGGGGCAGCGCCAGGGCTCAAAGGGTATCTGCAGAGTGAATGGGGTCCCTCTGGCAGGTGGTGTCCTTGATGGCCTGTGGGGATCGGGCCAAAACCAGCAGTCCGACATCCCCCAAGGGGTCCCGGAGTGCTAGAGGGCACTCAGCAAAGTTGCTGTTGCTCAGCAGCTCCTGCGTTGAACATCTGCCCCCTGGTGGTCAGTGCGCATCATACCACTGGCCAGTTGGCTGGTCGCTTAGCCTTTTATATATATAGATGCTTTAGCAGTCTTTTAACTTTCAAAAGCTTATATTATTTTTGTAACCAGAAGAAAATGGGATTTTACACATATATACATATATGTGTACATTTAAAAATATTTTATCAAATGTGACTCTACAGATTTCAATTTACATGTAATGTCTTGTGATGTTTTGAAAAAATAAATAATTCTTTTTTTGCTTGGCAAGAACTTTAAAAACTAAATTGTATGGTGCTCGTGTAGCTGTAATGCAGGGTTTTTAAGCCCAGCACTAGAAATATTTTGACTGCATAATTCTTTGCTATATGAGACTTTCCTGTGTATTATAGACTGTTTAGCAGATCTCTGAACTCTACCCACTAGCTTCCAGTTGCACTCTCTTCAGCTGTGACAACCAAAAATGTCCCGACCATACTTTGCCAAATGTCTTCTGGAAGGTAAAATCACCCTGGTTGAGTGCCATTGTCGTAATATTGTTCAAAAAGATGAAGCTTAATTTGTAAGTCAAATGTGATGTAATTCCCTTCAGATACATGTAATGAGACATAAATCTCCTAAAATAGTTTGCAAATACGGAACTTCTAAAGAATGAGGGGAAATCATTACAGCAAGTAATATGTATTGATTATATGCCAGGCATTGACTTTGTGCACATTATCTCACCGAGTTCTTATGACTTTTTTAAATGTTCACCTGAGGATATATTTTTATTGATTCTAGAGAGATAGGAAAGGAGATGGGGGGGGGGGCGGGCGAGAGGGGGGGCGCGGGAGAGAGAGAGAGAGAGAGAGAAAGAGAAAGAGAGAGAGAGAGAGAAACATCGATGTGAAAGAGAAACATTAATCAGTTGCCTCTCATACATGCCCCAACCACAGGTCAAACCCACAACCTAGGTATGTATGTGCCTTAGCCAGCAATCGAACCTGCAACCTGTTTGATATATAGGATGACGCACCAATCAAATGAGCCACCTGGCCAGGGTAGGTTCTTTTGACTTTATTTTCCCATTTTACAGAGGAGGGATTTAAGGTTTAGAAAAATTAGGTAATTTTCTCTGGTTACAATGCAGTAGAGCAAGGATTCAAATACTGGCTTGCAAACTCCAGAAGCAATCTTTTCAACTCAGATTCTTCAACACAGAACAGGCTCAGTACATTGACAATGGGTGTTTTTATCAAGTACAACAAAAGGCAAATCCCCTGAATATGATCATATTGTAAAATAATAATTGTCAATATTTATTAAGCAATTATGACCAAGCACTGTATATGGATATTAGCTCATCTGAATCCTGAAAAAACTGTATGACATGTGTACCATTATCATTTCCATTTTACTGAAGAGGAAAGTGGACACAAAGGGACTTGGTAACTTGCCTAGGGTATATAGCCAGGATATAAATACAGGCAAGCTGACGTCTAATAGTGAATAGTCAAACCCCTTCACTATTTAGCTATAAGTAACCGTCTTTTTTTTTTCCATTCACATATTAGGAAGCATGAATATTTCTTCTACAACCTTATCAACATTACTCATTTTGATAACTCAAAAAGAACAAATTGAAGATCTATGACCAGGGTCTAAATCCAATAAAAAACAAGGTCTAGTTTGGCTTGTAAGAATTGTCCCCAACTCCTCCCAATTTTGAATTCTGGGTAAACATTTCAAAATGAAGATTTCACATAAAACCAAGATTTCCAGTGTCTCTTGAAGAGTTGTGAAATCTGGCATCACCAGACCTCTATTTGCATACGGCAACCATTAGCTGAGCAAATGTCCTTCTCCTTAGACAGGGCCAGCCATCTGCGGAGCACCACAGTCCCCACCTCTCCCTATTCGCACCCAGATCCTGAAGCCCAGGGCAGGTATCTGAACTGCCACTCAGCTCTGAGGCACAGCTGTCAGTCTGCTCATTTGTTTTTGTTTATTCAGGTGGCCATCTTTCCTCATTAACATTGTTAGCTGTACCCTAAAATCATCTGTGTTGTGATTCCAGAGTTATAACCCTCATGTGAGAAGGTCAACCTCACCGTGTCTATAGCGTAGAGTTGGCCACACTTAGATACACTAAGTTGTTGCTTCTTTTCTTTTAAGGCTCTGTTCATCTTCATTAGCAAGGCACACCAAATGGAATGGCAGCTTCTGCACGTGGATTTGTTTAGACAGCAATTTTTGACCTTTTTCGTCTCATGGCGCACACAAACTAATTACTAAAATTCAGTGGCACACCAAAAAAAAATACATTTTTTGCCGGTCTGACAAAAAAAAAAAAAAAAGGTATAATTTTTATTCATTCACACGGGACAGTTATTGTTATGTTGGCTATTCCCATTTGTGTATGTGACAATCTAAGGGAAAGATATCAGTGCCCCTGACTAAATAGTCAGGTATCACATTATTTTAAAAATTCTTGGGTCACACGGTTGAAAATCACTGGTTTAGACTCATGCCTTTTAACATGCAGCCAATTTGAAGTGTCCTTCCCTTGCAAGTCAAAGTGGTTGGGTGTCTATTAGAATATATATGTTAAAAAAAAAAAGCCTCAGTGGTAACATTCAGCATATGATTCTATTGAGAGAGAAAAAAAAAGCAACACACCAACTTGCCAACAGTAACAAATTTTATTTACTTATTTTTGTCTCCATGGTCAGTAAGTAGCAGATGCCCTTTAAATATGTCCATTAATCATCAAATCACTGAGTCCTATAAATACTTCCATGGGGGGAAAAACAAGAGACATTATTCTTAATTAAATTTCTCAACTTGGGCTAATACAAATGTTACTTCATAACACATGTATCTAACTTCAGTGCTGGCATATGTTAATGTAAGATGGAACAGATCCCTGTGTTCCAATCAGCACAAATCTTTAGTTCTAAGGACTGCACTGGGAAGTTCTCAGGAGACTGGTGCACTGCCCAGGAAATCATTAACCATTACTGATGACATGGGGGAGGGAGAACGGCTCCTTTGTACGCTGCTCGTTTGCCCACCGGGTATCTTATTTATTTATAAGCTAAGAACGTCACACAGACTTTAGTTTCAGAAGAAGAGCACAAAGCACTTCTGTAGTTATCACTGCTCCTTTAAAAAGTCTTCTTGAGTTCATTAGCCTTGTCCTGCAGTAATTTAGCAAAGTTTAAGTCCCCAGTGATTTCTGTCCCAACTCATGGCTGAGTCAGTGCTAAGGGCCTAAACTTATAGGCCATCACCACAACATGCCACTTCAAAAATTAAGCAGCTCTTGCTCCTCCTCTTCAGTGAAGTTTTTGAGAAACTAGTTTGAAACTAATACCCAAGACCTGACTAAGTTTCAAATGTCTAGGTTGTTGGTTCAATGAAGTCTGAATCGTGGAGTGACCCACTGATTTAGGTACTGAAAGACCTTTTGCATTACCTTTGTAGTGCTTCTTCTGTGGGTCTTTGCATTATTATTTTCTTCTATTTTTAAGAGGAAGTTAGTGTAGAACTAGGGAGGGTGGGAGAGTATTGCATTTAAGTGTAACTTAGTGCCAGGCACTAGGCTTAGATGGATGAGGTCTGAAGGTGGGGATCTGCCTTTCCCTCTGCCTTTCTTGCAGTTAATCAACACATTTTTAATGAGCTGGTCTCTTTTGCAGGAGTTTTTTCCTGTTTATGATTCCACATCCTTGGGCATAGTTATTCCTGAAGCATTTTAATTCATACTTTATTAAATGCCTCTTGGTGACTTCAGAGGCAGGAGCTGTGAACTACACAGGAAACCTGGTTCAGATCCAGAACATGCAATTACAAAATACGTATTCTTTTTCTTGATAAGTAGAAACCCTACAGGAAATGTCTACATTTTCACTCAAAAATAACACTGAGCTTGTTTTGTTTTTTTCCCTTGTGCTACTCACACAGAACTATTTCCTCCCATAGAAAAATCATATTTTCAAGTGATATTTACTAATATGTTTCCCATTTCAAATATTCAAATACTTACAATAAAATGCCCATAAACATACCCTTTTCTATTGTAAAAGTTTTGCTATCCTTTAAGTCTCTTAGCTGTATAATTATAGAACTTAAAAGTGAAATCTACAATAATATAATACTATCATATAATTGAAAAACTTATGGGAATTTTTCCTTAAGATCATAAAAAAACTGTCAAAACATTCTCTTATTTATATAATTCTTCTCAATTGAGTTTACAGAAACATAGAGGGATCCTATGAAATATACACTACACATTGCCCCCTCATTCCGTCTCAACTATATAATGTCAAAGCCATTAACAAAGCAACACAGTTGCATAAAAACACTTTAATGTCGTTTATTTTAGGGTACAGAAGCTATAATAAAATTTAACTTAATTATAAAAAGACAATTGAATGTTTAAGTATGTAATTCCCAATTGAAAGCACAATGTGCTGAAGTCATTTATATTCAGATATTTTAATTTCTAGTCTATAGTAATAAGAGTTTTCTTTGATTGGTGTCCCCAAACTACCCATGAACTGTCAATGAAGAGCTTCATAATTTTCCTCTGGCTGAAGAAGATCAAAGAATTCTTATGTTTGCCGAAGTCTTTGATACTGGTGCACAAACAGGTGGTGAGTTTATTTCATTGCTACTAAACTGTTTCTTGATGTCCAGAGTTTAGGAAGAAGTGGTTTATTTTAACGAAGTGCTTACAGACTGGCTTGCTCTTCCCCAATTTTTAATTTTCTTTACAAGGTACCCCATAGTGCAGCAGTTCTCAACCTGTGGGTCGCGACCCCTTTGGGAGTCGAACGACCCTTTCACAGGGGTCGCCCTAAGACCATTGGAAAACACATATATAATTACATATTGTTTTTGTGATGAGTCACTATGCTTTAATTATGTTCAATTTGTAACAATGAAAATACATCCTGCATATCAGAGATGTACATTATGATTCATAACAGTAGCAAAATTACAGTTATGAAGTAGCAACAAAAATAATGTTATGGTTGGGGGTCACCACAACATGAGGAGCTGTATTAAAGGGTCGCGGCATTAGGAAGGTTGAGAACCACTGCTATAGTGATTTGTGCTAGACCCTGGAACTGAAAGCGAGAGCTGAGGAAACCATGAGAGCCATGATCCTGCAGGCTGGAGGACACACTGGGCTCAGTCCAGGGGTATCACTGCCTGGCTGACTTTATTTGCCTTCTCTCTCCATTTTTGAAGTTATATGCCCTCACCTTGAGTTCTAGCATAACTAAAAGTTGAGTTTTTAAGTCACAGAAAAATGTGAAATAGCCCAATTGTTTTTACCAATTTTAACCAAGATATGGAGGTCCACAGGCAGTACAGTATGAAGAACTGATTCCCATCTTTGAAGTATGAAAATCCCTTTTTAAAAATCATAACATTTCATCTTCCTTTACACTGTATATGAAAATGAAAATTATATTTAATATTACTGAGTATTTGCTATATGTCAGGCAGCATTTTAAATATTTTGTGTATTATTTCTTTTAATTCTCACAATATCCTATGAGCGATAATACTATCCCCACTTTACAGATGAGAAAATAGAGGCACAGAGAGGTTAAGGCACTTGCTTGCCATTGGCTGATTTTAGCAGTAGGAGCTATTAACCTCCAAGTTATACTTGATGGAAGCTATACATCTAATACATGTTTATTAAAAAATATGTAAAGGATAAATACTATTATTGATTCAGTAACACTTTAAGTGAATCTACACTTTATTCCATATATAACTGAAATCAACAGTACACATAACTGCAAGGCATGTTTCCCATCACACAATGCCCCCTTCCTGCCAGTGACTCGGGCTCCACATCAAATCTCCCTCCTCCAGCTCATTCTGAGCCAAGAGTCGGTGTAACGTGGAGTGCAGACTTGCACTTGAAACCAGAAATCATGGTTCTAAGTCTCATTACAGTATTCACTTGACATTTCGAGTTTTGGTTTCCTCCTGTATCACCAGGAGATATTGATAAATGCACTACCGTAGGGCTAGCATGAGAAACAAAATAATCTAAGGAGATACAAGTTCTTGTTAGGGTTTCCTATTCAGCTTTCTTGTAACCTCATAAAAACGTCATTTCTTTAACATGACCTTTTCTCCTTTCATTCCTTTTGCTTCAAACTGGTCTGATGGCCCAGGCTGACCTGTCTCCTTCTCCCTTGCACATCCACCTCTTTAATCATTAAGCCCTCAGGACAATGAGGTTCTGATCAGCATCAAATAATCTTAGGAACAAAACCTGTCTGTAGGCCCCAGCGGCAAAGTTTAGCTCAAACTAAAGATAACATCTAGGCCTCAGTTGTGCTTCCGCTCCAGGCCCAGAAAAGCTTAGAAAGGAGACAAGTAACACCATGGCTGACATTGGGAGCAGATGCGCTGATCAACTACTCCATCCTAGCACCTAACAAGCAGTAGAGAGCACGACCCTGACCATGACCCTAACTCCCGTAATCACCATGAATAATTCTTTTTCCCCCTGGAAGCCATCCGGGAGCCAGGTCTTTAAGCAAGAGCTCACCTGTGACTCCAGAAGTGAGCCACTTCCTAGAAAGTATTCCTGTTCTTGTCTTACTGGGCTTTGATGCATGCAGGCAAACAGATCCCTTTTGTCCACTGACATTATCAACAGATACATTTTAACATCTATTATTTTTCTAATTTTTCACTGCTCATTCTTATATCTCACCTTTGAGTAGTTTCAGAGTACCACAACATCTGCAGATG